AACATGAGGGGCATGTCGGAGTGTCCAGAAAGGGCCACTACCAGAAAGGTAGTGAAACTGACATGCACATTCTGGTTTGGACCCCGCTGCCCTGTGGCAGGTGGGGGATGAAGCAGCTGGGTCGTCGGAGTCACGTGGCCTCCTGAGGGCGGGGTTCTGGCAGATTCCGGTCTGCTACCACAGGATTTCAGGGTTTTAGGGCTTCAAGGACCAGTAAGGCCTAGGAGAGGGGCCTCGGCCCTGGCCTCATGCCTCAGAGGGCCTATTCTGACCCTCCTCTGGGTGAGACCAGGGGACATACCCTGGGGGCTGTGCCCTGGAACACTCTGTTGTTCCCATGATTGTTTCTGGAGGAGCTGGAGGAGTCCTTTCCTCTGGATCTGTGCTCAGGGGGACCCACGTGAAGTGCGCAAACATGTCTGCGTCGTGGCAAGAGGAGGCGGTTTGTGAGCCGCAAGGGCAGGGCGCCCACCTGTGTGCGTGTCCCTGGGGATGTGGGACAGAGCCAGGCTGCAGGGAGAGGTCAGCTCCCCCTCCGCCAACTCTGCGGCCGGAGTCCCAAGAGCAGGAGACTCCAGATTTGAACCGGGGCTTCCAGATCATTATGAGCACATACGTGTCAAGGTAAGATGACAGAACATGCATTATTTAACATTTTGTCAGCCTGACCTACAACCTGGCTCAGTAACTCTGTTACTGCCTAGCTGTGCGACCCCAGAGGACAAGACACTGAGGTTCTTTGCGCCACAGGGTCCTGCCTCGTGAAGTGGTCTATATGAGTCTACAAATCCCTCCCAGCCTGGGGCCTGCAGCAAACATAGTTACTGGCCAACAGCCACTCCCTCCTCTTCCTCACTAACAGAACCCCATTTTGGAAGGAGCCCGTGAACACACCCAGCCCTGGCGTGAACCTCTGCTGGCCTAACTAACACACAGCCAGTTTCTTGCCCAGCCTGGAGGAGCTTGGGAGTGGGGACCCCGGGTCTCCTGAGGGTCCCTGAGAAGGGAAAAGCTCAGAGGAGGAACCATTTTGTGGCGGCCCTCCTTGCCATGAGGAGAGACACCCAGACATGTGGAGGGTGCCAGGAGGGTATAAGAAAGCCCTGGGTGACCCCTGAGCCAACCACAAGACCACCGACCTCCAACTTTGAATCCTAGTACATAGTAATGTCTTGGTGAGTCAGCCATAACTGGCCAGTTATGAGACAGTGGAGTGGTGAAGGACACAGACCCTGGGGCCCGGTTCTGCTGTTTTGTTTTGTATTGTTTTGTTTTGTTTAACTTGTGCCTCCTTGGGCAAGCCACTCAACCTCTCTGTCCCTGTCTCCTGTCAGCAACAGTCAATAAAAAATACTTCCTCCTTTCTTAGGGTTTTATGGGGCTAATGAGTGTGAACAATTTGGCCCCGTGACGGCATAGCTCACTGATGTGGAAGTCTGTGTTGTCCTCTGTGGGTCAACAGGTCCTATAGCCTGTGTGTCCTGTGCCATGTCCTTACCACACCGAAGGACTGAGGCACGGAAAGAATATTCTAGAAGCCTTCCCGGCACCTTGGCCTCTGCTTCCCGCTCTCCCTGAGGTGCACCCCTTTCTCAGACGGGAGCGCAGGGCCTGGCCGGGTCCCCAGGGGCGCCCCCCACCCCGCTGGCCTGGCGGGGCCGCAGGCGCCTCCCTCATGCGGCTCTCAGCAGTCAGGGCACGGCTCTCGCCGCCGCTGGGTCCCCAAGGCCCTCGGGGCCTCTTCCTGTCTTCCTTTCGGTCGCCCCACAGGGCTCCTGGCCTTCCCCTGGGCTGCTGGGCGGCAGGAGGCGGGATAGCGCAGGGGACGGCCTCTGTGGGCCTAGGAGTGGCAGCCAGTAACCCCAGCAGGGACACAAAGCCAGGCCACTGCTGGAGCTGAGCCCCCCAGAGGTGACTCCATCCATCCTGCCGCCACAAGATTTTAACACTGGAGAGAGTGTCAAAAATACGTCTCCTAGCTTATTTTGCCTCTTATTTAAATTGTTTTTTGCAAATTAGACTTTTTTTACGAGGCCTTTTCATGTCTGACTCCTTTAGGCTTAACATAACCCCCTGTAGACATCTGATGAATATTCGCACTGAGCTCTCCCCATGAGTGCTTTCTCCCACTAGTGGCGTGGATGCATCTCAGCTCCACACCTGTCTGCCTGAAGCCCAGCATTTTCTCCCGTTGTCCTTGCTCAGTGTGTCGTCTGGGATTCAATTCAGTAAGCAGTTTGTGTTCACTGCTGTTCACCTCTTCACAGTTGACAGGGCATTTGTGCGTCTACACTGCTGAGGGTCCTCGAGTCACACTTGTGGAAAACAGGTGAGCAGGGGGAGGGACAGACTTACTTCCGGCAGCAGAGTCCCTTAGAAGAGGAAGATGAGGCCAACCCCTGCCAACAGGTAGCATGCATGTCACGTGGTACAGCCACCGGGTTGATCCTGAGAAAAGGAGAATAAGAAACGAAGAAACGAGTGGAGGGACAGGGGCAGTTAACTGTTACCTGTTCTCAGAAAAGAGGGTCTAATGGTGAGGAAGTCCTTTAAAGAATATTCTGAGATTCGAGGGGCGCCTGGGTGGCTCATCTGGTTAAGCGCCCGGCTTCGCTCAGGTCATGATCTCAACAGTTGGTGAGTTCAACCCCGCGTCAGGCTCTGTGAGGGCAGCTTGGAGCCCTGGAGCCTGCTTCGGATTCTGTGTCTCCCTCTTTCTCTGCCCCTCCCCAGCGCATGCTCTGTCTCTCTCTCAAGAATTTAAAAAAAGAAAAATAAATAAAAATTACATGTGAATAAAGATCCATGAGCCCAGGTGTAGGAAATGTAAGGATAGAGAAGGTGTGAAAAAGCAGACTTGAAAAGGGAACATATAAGGGAAGTGTAGGAACATGGAGTGTCCAGAAGGTCCATGTGACATGTGAGGTGATATATGTGAAATGCCAGTCAGCACAGTAACAAGACTTTTTCTAGCCCACGTGTGTTCCAAGAAGATGGATATAAGGAGAAGCAGGCCTTCCAGCTTCTCAAGGGAGATGGTGCTTGGGGTCTTTAAGGGAGCCCTGGTGTGAGAGGCAAGTCTTAGAGTGATCGTCTGGGTAGACATGACTGGTTGGGACATGAGTGTCCTGGCCTGTGTCAGGGCCTGACCCCTTCAGTTAGTGTAGTGCCATCCATTTTCAGATGACAACTCAGACCTGAAGTGCGGAGAGGGTAAGGTGCTGGGCCAAGACCACAGAGCTGGCCTATACCAGGCCTGTGGCCTCCACAGCCCAGTGTCTCTGGAGGCAATAATTTAGACCCAGCTTCTCTCTGGGCCCCATGAATGGAATGAAAATGTTCCTGCTGGGTTAACCCAGAAAGCTACTCTCTCTGGAAAACTCTCTTCAGTTTTTAATAAGAATAAAGGCATTAATAATGCAATACTATTGGGGCACCTCAGTGGCTCAGGCGGTTAAGCATCTGACTTTGGCTCAGGTCATGAGCTCATGGTTCATGAGTTTAAGTCCCATATTGGGTGAGCCCTGTTTCTCTCTCTCTCTCTCTCCCTCTCTCTCTTTCTGCCCCTCACTTGTGCCCTCTCTCTCTCTCAAAAAAAAACAAAAAAACAAAAAAACTACAATACTGTTATTAATTAGCTTTACGATGGTGCAGGAACTTTTCTAAAGCTCTTATAGAGTACATTATTTCAGTCCTCACAACCCTGTGAGGTGTATCCAGTATCTTCCCAACCTCACACTGGAAGAAAGTGAGGCACAGAGAGGTTGGGTAACCTGCCCAAGTCATGACGCTTTGAGAGGCCAGATTCTTGACAGGCCATTGGCTCCAGTGTCCTCACCGTCCCTCAGGGGATGTTCCTGAAAAGCCTGGCATCAGGTCCTGAGTGTGGTGGTTCCCTCCCTGGGACACTGGAACCCCTCCAGCACTTGGTGGGGAGAAGGCAGTCAGAGCTTTCCCGTGGCACCCAAAGAGGAGGCGAAGAGTCTGGGGTTAGAAGAGCTGGGGGCTGAGTAAATCCTGAAAGGACTCATGTGGCTAGCCTGGGTCCAAGGACGGGACAGGCGCTTCGGTGGCCCAGGAGAGGGAGGCTTTAGTCCCTTCATCCCACGAGCCTGAGGTCACCAACCAAAGTCTGCTTTCTCAGGCTGGGCTCATTTGGCTGTGGCTCCTCCTATCCCCCAACAAGAAACCTTCCGTGCCCCTACTTCCACCCAAAGCCTGAGATGGCACCTGCCCTGGTCCCCATATGCTCCTTATAGGGGTAGGGATTGCGGCAGGCGGCTCGCCCCTCACCTCTGAACCTTACTGGGTTTGGATTTCTCCTTTCCTCCACAGAAACTCCCTTACCTCCATATTCCCACCTGAGAGGGGAGTAATGGGAACGTGCCAAGAAGCTGTCCTCGAGGTCTCCAGCGTCTGAGTCCCTGAACCCTGCTCCGGGTGTGTGTTTGGGGGCTGTGTGTGTGGGAGTGTCCCCAGCTTCCCCTGGGAGCCTATCCACTCACCCTGTCAGTCCGGATTCCATGTTGGTCCCTCTGCCTGGTCCATGGCAGCCATTTCCTTTTCTGGTGCAAAGCCCTCTGTCTGCACCACCTTGGGTCTGTGCCGTCCTTGGTCATATTTATCCTCTCACAAGGCTAACCATCCTCATGGAGTTCTACACACCTGACTGTCCCCCGTCCCAGCACTCCTGGGCTGGGGCCTGACCCTGTTCCTTACACACCAGCCACTCGGGCCTCCCTCACCACTTTCTCAGGGGGCCTTGTCTGGGCACAGGCTCACTGACCCCTAGCCTCTTCTGGGCTGCCGGAAAGATTGGGGATGGTCTCCTAGAGACCCCCTCACATCTGTCCCTCTTCCCAGGTCCAGAGAGCCACAATTACAGTCACTGCAGCTCCTGTCACATCGCAGCCACACGGCTGCCAATGACAGCACAGAGGCTGGCACCCCTCCCCCACAGGCCCCCACAGACAGGTCCACGTGCGTCCCCAGATGCCTGAATCACTGCTGACGGTTTGGGACCTGGAGGCCGTGGGCTCCTGGGGAGCCACTGGGGAGGGGGGTGGCGGCCACGTCGTCTCCCAGGAACACCTGCGGACATAAATAGGCAGCGAGCGAAGGCAGCCCAGCACAGTCCGCACAGCGGCCCCACACACTGTGCCCACCTGCTCCAGGATGCCGGACACCATGCTACCCGCCTGCTTCCTGGGCCTGCTGGCCTTCACCTCCGCCTGCTACTTCCAGAACTGCCCGAGGGGTGGCAAGAGGGCCATGTCTGACCTGGAGCTGAGACAGGTATGACTGTGGCCCATCTCAGGGCTGCATGGAGGGGGCAGAGCCCTAGGGCTGGCATCTAGTGCAGGGGCTGGGAGGGAAGGAAGTCATGGGGGAGGCAAGGCTTTAGGGGACCGGCCCAGAAGAAGGGAGGCTTGACATGGCTGGGCAGAAGGGGCCAGGCTGCCCGGCAGGCTAGGACGGGCTACAGGACTTCCTAGACACTATCCCCAGCCAGGCAGGGGATGCAGGAAAGACAGCTGTTACTCCGGTCTGTGAGACCTGGGATTGGGGCCGGTCCATGAGACCTGGACAGCTAGGCCTCCTCTGTGCCCATGGGGACCTTGCAGCCCCGACAGGCTCTGTCCCAGCCAGGATTGGAGGCTTTCCCATCCAGCCTTCAGCCTCTGCTGGTCACAGCGCCCCCCCCTCCCCCCCCCCCCCCAAGCCTCACACAGAAGCTGGCCATTGCTCTGAGCTCATTCGAGTGAGGGTGCCACTTCCTTCGAGGAAGTTCTGCTGGGTACCTAGCCCAGTTCTCCTGTGCTGCACGACCAGTAGATTCCCTTGTATCCATTCCCTTCCATTTCCATTGGAAGGAAATCCAATCAGCATGCCCAGTTCTGCCCAGGCCACAGGTGGCTAAATTTTGAGCCACTGAACAAACTAGAGTGGATAGGGAGCAGCCCCCACAGACTACCCTTCTCTCTGCTTGATACCTTTGGAAGCCTGAGTCACTAAGGGGCCTCATGCTCTCCCTGGGTCTCCGGCTCCTTTCACCCACAGTCCACAGAGGTGAGCAGAGGTCAGGGCCCAGAGAGGCCCACCAGCTTGCTGCGAAGGGACAGGAAAGGGGAGGAAGGGCCTGGAAGTGTTCTGGGCGTGGCAGGACGCTCTCTGCTAGGGGCGTGGGTGCTGAAGATCAAGTTTGAGTGAGGGCGCAGGAGAAGGTCTGAGTTATGGGAAGGGCGGTGGGCAGCTGAGAAGGGTGCACACCACTGATAGCTCCAGAGCTGAGAGGGAGGGTGTCTTCCGTGTAGCCCGGGGGTGGGGGTGGGGGTGGGGTGGGACAGAGAGGGTGCTGAGGGCTGTCACTGAGTGAGGTATCCTCAGTCACCTGAAAACCAAGGGGGTTTAGTGGACGTGTGCCCCCGCCCGTGACCGCGGCCCCCGCACACCCCGGGCCTCGCAGGGCCCGCGCTCACCCCCCGCCCCCCTCCCTCCCGCCAGTGCCTCCCCTGTGGCCCCGAGGGCAAAGGGCGCTGCTTCGGGCCCAGCATCTGCTGCGGCGACGAGCTGGGCTGCTTCGTGGGCACGGCCGAGGCGCTGCGCTGCCAGGAGGAGAACTACCTGCCGTCGCCCTGCCAGTCGGGCCACAAGCCGTGCGGGAGCGGTGGCCGCTGCGCCGCCGCGGGCATCTGCTGCAACGACGGTGCGCTGCCGGGGCGGCCCGGGGGTGGCGGGGGCGGGGCCGGGGTCCAGGTGGGGGCGGTGCGGAGGTTCCCGTGGGCGCGGCCCCGGGGGCGGGCGGGGGCGGGGCCGGGGTCCAGGCGGGGCAAGTCCGGAGGTTCCCGGTGGGCGCGGCCCCGGGGGCGGGCGGGGTCCCGCGGGCCCCGGCTGGTCGATCTCGGTCGGTCAGCGGCGCGCTCTGCCCGTGCCCCCCGCAGAGAGCTGCGTGACCGAGCCCGAGTGCCGGGAGGGCGCTGGTTTTCACCGCCGCGCGCGCGCCAGCGACCGGAGCAACGGGACCCAGCTGGACGGGTCGACCGGCGCCCTGCTGCTGAGGCTGGTGCAGCTGGCGGGGGCGCCCGAGCCCGCGGAGCCCGCCGCACCCGGCGTCTACTGAGCCGCCCGCTCCCCCCTCCCGCCCCCGCAGTCCAGAAAATAAACCTTTTAAAATGCACCCGCGAGTGTCTGTTTCCGTCTCCAGGGGTGAGGAGGGGGGCAGAAGAGACGGTGGGGCGCGGACCCCCCCACCTCACCCGCCGCAACTAGTCTGGGATCTTTAAGGGAAGAGATCTTGGCTCTGCAGAGTTCTAGGGACCGGGCGACCTGAGGGGGGGGGGGGGGCAGAGCCAGAGCCGGGAGTAGGGCATCCTCTGGTAGAGGCATAGAAGTAAAGGCAAGGAGGAGAGAGACATTGGTGGACGAGATAGTGAGAGAGGACAGAGGAAGCCGAGATGGAGAGACAGAGGTTGAGAGCCTCAGAGGGAAGCGCGAGAAAGGCCGAAGGGGAGGAGCCAAGGGAGTTCCAATCCCCACTTACATCCCAGGAGACTGAGGCACAGCTTCAGGGACCC